TGTCTTTAAAAAAACATACGCATGCCTCCGTTGCAAATTGGTAATTTCTTCCATGATATTATCTTTAATTTTTGCCCTCCCATTCCATTGTGTCTGACTCTCAGAGACTGGAGTTTTCTTGACTACCTTTTTCAGAGGTATTTGCCATTGCCTCCTTCCTAGGGCTCTGAGAAAGTGGCTGGCCCAATCGCCCAGGTGCCTTTCTTGCCCAAGATGGGATTAGAACTCATCGCCTCCTGGTTTCTGACCCGATGCCTTAACCGCAACACTGAATTTTCCCTCTCTCTCTCTCTCTTTTTATTGTTTCTTACAATATTTATAATCATATAATTCATCTATAGCTTTTATTAAAGCTTTGGGCTTTAAACAAAGCTGTGAATGAAACTCCTTCTAAATCCCTGCCAAGTGACTCAGATCAGCCCTATGTGGATGCATGTGAAAATAATCAGAATTACAATCTACACAAAAAAATGACAACATTGTGTATCCCACTCATGAACAATTCCACAATTGCCATGTTAAGTTTCTGTCTTTTATTGGGGGGAGGAAAAAAAACACTATTTTTAGAAAATGGCAGTTTATGCAAGGAACAAAAGAGTTTTTTACTTCTTTTTCTTTTTTTAACTGCATGGATAAAATGCACCAAAAAAAGGGACAATGCAGAGTTGGAAAATATTTTTTAAATCCTCACATTTTTCCTTCGCAGGTCCGTCCTCGACTTACAACAGCTCATTTACTGTCGAAGTTAACTTAACAGCTTCAATGATTCACTTAACAACGGTGGCAAGAAAGATTGTAAAATGGGGCAGAGGTCACTTAATATCTCACTTAGCAACAAGAAATTTGGGGCTCAATTGCAGTCGTAAGTTGAGGACTACCTCCAATCTTCAAATCTCTAAATCAAATTCCCCCTCCCCAAAATAGATGTTTTTAAAAAAAGAAAATTGAACCTTGACAAATCAGTTCAACGACAGACATCATGGAAAACCAGAGACAGAATTAACTAAGCAGTCATTCCCTGCCGAAATCAAGTTCCGATTCAGCCGTTGATTGTTTTGACAATGCCCGCAGAACGGCCTTATTAGGGCTTCGCTATCTTAATAAAAATAAAATTTAACTCCCCCCACCCCCCAAAAAATGGAGGCTCAACTTTTCCCATTCCCCAAATTGCTTTGCAAAAATCTGAGTTCCCAAAGCATTAACAAGGTTTGTGTAGCAGTTCAGGGTCGAACTGCGAGGGAGGGGGGGGGGGGGTCCTTGGTGCTCTCTTAGACCTGGGCGATTTTTCTGGCAGACGTTTCATGACCCAACTAGGGAACGACGTCAGTCGCTGGAAGGGGAAGTGGGGTGGGGATGCTTGTACACAGATGAGCTTTGCTGACTTTGGTTAGGACAGAAAAAGGCAAGAAAATCGCCAAGCTCTGACGGCACCAAGGTGGTTGATCTTAAAAGAAGAGGTTGTTGACTTTGGCCAACTTTTAAGACCGGGGGGACGGACGACTTCAACGTCTAGAATTCCGCACGGCTGGGGAATTCTGAGAGTTGAAGTCCGCCAGTCTTATAAGTGGTTCCAGATTGGACCTCCGTGGTGGTCTAAAGGGAAGCAAAACCAACCCAAAACTTAGGCCGTACGTTTTGGACTTTGCTGGATTAAAAGTCCTTTTTTTTTTTTGTTCAAAAGAGGCATGGGCCGAGGAAAGGGAGAGAAAGAAGGGAGGGTCTCGTGGGTGGCTTTGATTGCTTTTTATTGACTTTGAAAGCTCAGCATGATCTAAGTGGGAAGGTGGCCAGCAGCCTACTTGAGCTTCTTTTCCATCAGGAGGCTGTCGTGGAGCTTGGAGACCTCGGGCTCAAAGGTTTCCATGACTAAGGTCCCATTGCTGTCGAAGAATTTGGCGATGGAGCGGGTGAATTCGGCCTCCCTCTGCTGCTTGCTTCGGCCACTGATGAATGTCATCTTCAGGCTGTATTTGTCGTCAAACCTGCAAAAAGGGGAGGAGAAACAGAGAGGATGGGGTCAAGGACCATCCAGCGGGGGGAAGGGGGGGCACTTTCTAAAAATTCAACTGAAATGAAATGAAATGAAATATAAATTATAAAAACAGTGTAGCTGTCAGGATTCCGGCAGTCCCGTCCCCCACCCCCCTCCATTTAAATCCTGAGTCTCGAGCCAAACTTCCAAAACTTTAGAAAGGATTTATTGGGAGTTAACACGTCTGGCACTAACTGGGTGTAGCCGACTCTGAGGCACATCATTCACTGTCACCCTTGACCCTGGTTTTTCTCCGCCCCCTGGGTGTGTCGCAATTCATATCCTCCAATGGGACACCTCCATAGCCCAGAGTCATCCATCAGGCTCTCCAGTTAGAATTTTGCACGGCAGAAGCTTCAGTCCCCTAGTTACTATCTTTGAAAACAATTGTGGAACGCACAACCTGCTGCACTGCCCCCCCCTCCCTATCTGTTGACAACTCTAAAAAGACCATAGAAATATTTTATGAGTTGACAGTAACATAAAATAATAGAATATTAAAATATAAAACCATGTAACCTAAAGCAATAGAATATGAAATAGAAAGCAAAATAAAACTACAATATAGCATAAAAAAAGACAAAATAAAAAAATTAGAAGATATAAAATAAAAAAGGCAAAATAAAAAATAATACAGCCTAAAATAAAATAAGATAAAATAAGGTAAAATGACAAATGAATAAACTATACAATAAAATGAAAAAAATTGAAAGAGCACACTGGAGAAATGCAAAATATAAAAAAGAACATAACATAACATAAATAATATAAAATACAAAACATAAAATCATACAACATAAAATAAATAATATAAAATAAAAAATGAATATAATATAACATTAAAAGTTAAAATAGAAAATGAAATAAAACAGAAAATAACAAATGACATAAAATACAAAATAAAATAAAATATAAAGTAAGTAATAAGCAAAATAAAGAAAAAACAGAACAAAAACAAAAAAGTAAAAATAAAGAATGAAAGGGTTCGATTCAATTCAATTCGTGAGCTCCTGGTGATAGAGGTACTCCTCACTTAACGACCGGTCACTGAGACGTAGGTCGAGAGGAGGTTGGAAGACTTCTGCTGAGTTTGCGATCCGAACTATTTTGGGGCAGGGTCAGCGCAGGACAACTTTCATTTCACCTTCTTCTCTATGGAGGTTTCTGGGAGCTGGCCTGATTTCCCCACCCCGCAACCCTTGTCCTTCAAGCCAGACTTTGGTGAGTCCTGGGGGGGGAAGGGGGGTCTGGGGTGTGTGTGTGTTACCTTTTCAGACTTGAGGAAAGCTGCCAGATGTCGTCGGGGTCCATTCCCGTGGGGTCTTTCCTGTGCGCTACCAGAAAGATGCTCTTCTCCTTGTATGAGGTATAGATGGTCAGAATTCCCATCATTACGAAATACGTAGGGCCAGGGTTAAGGAAAGGGGCCAGAATCATAGGATCCTAAGGGACCTTTGGAGGTCTTCTAGTCCAACCTCTCTCCGAACTAGGAGACCTTATACCATCCCAGACAAATGGCTGGCCAAACTTTTCTCGAAGTCCTCCGGTGATAAGAGCACTCCAAACGCCGAGAGGCAAGCTGTTCCATGCATCCATGCATCTCTCCATCCATCCATCTCGCTCTCCATCCATGCACCCACCCACCTCTCCATCGATCCATCCACCCACTCATCTATTCATCCACCCACCCACCCATGCATCCATCTCTCCATTCATCTACCCATCCACCTATTCATCTCTCCATCAATCCACTGTCCAACTATTTATAAAGCCTGCACGATCACTATTCATCTTCTCCTCACTCCTTATCCACCCATCCCCTCCCACTTGTGACTGTAGGACTGTAACTTTGTGGCTTGTATCCTTATGATTTATATGGACTGTTTCCTAGTAGGATTTGATTGCTTATTGTACTCTGACTATTATTAAGTGTTGTACCTTATGATTCTTGACCAATGTCTCTTTTCTTTTATGCACGCTGAGAGCATTTGCACCAAGACAAATTCC